ATTGATAATTTTCGAGATTTTGATAAATTTTGTCAAAATTTGATCTTTAAATGCTTATAAAAAAAAACTGTGCCTATGTATTTTTAATATTTTTCAACTGCTATTGTAACAATATATCAGGAGCCTTGTATTAAATTTTTACACTTTTTGGCCCAACAGATAAAACTTTATTGATATTTATAGAAAAAAAAACTAAAAAAATTGAAAGCTGTAAATGTCCATAAACATCTCAAAAAGAGTCAAAATATTTTCAAAATTGTATGGTGTATAGAAAATGCTAATTTAAACATTGAGTGAAATTTTCATGTATCTACAGTTGTTCGTTGTTGAATTGCAACAAAATAAGGAAATCGCTACATGAGTAATCGAGTGAATATCCAATGTTGTAAAAATTTGAATTTCAAACGCTCATAAAAATTTAACTTGACTGTCCGGTAGAGATTTTTTTATTGATAAAGGTAGATAATCTTATAAGGAATCTTGTGTTTCATTTTCAAATCTTAGATTTAAAAAGAAAAGTTTTTACGAATTCTTAACTCAAAATAATTTGCTAATTTTCGTGATTTTTCCATATTTTGTAAATTTTTGAACTTTAAATGCTTATAAAAAAAAATTGTGACTAAGGATTTTTAATATTTTTCGTCTGCCTTTAAAACAACATATTAGAAGCCTTCTATTAAATTTTCAAGCTTTCGCAACCAACAAATAAAATTTTATTGATATTTCTAGAAAAAAAACTAAAAAAAATGAAAAATGAAAATGTCCCTAAACAGTTCAAAATAAATCAAAATATTTTGAAAATGTTATCGTGTATAGAAAATGCAAATATAAACAACCAGTGAAAATTTCATGTATCTACGGTCATTTGTTTTAAAGTTACACCAAAAACCAAATTCGATTTTTTGGAAAATCGATTTTGCGTAAAAATTCCCGTTTTTCCTTAATTTTTATGTTGTTTTTCCCGGCGCTTGTGAAAACTACTGGAAAATGTTTACTTTTGACCCCCCAAAGTACCAACTAGATTCACTTTCCTATCAGAAAAGGTACTATTGTAGAAAATCGAAGCACTTTTACTGTCCCAAAACGTGATGACAGACACAAAAATATAAAAATATAAAAATATAAAAACACACATCATTGTAAAACCAATACATTCATCGCTCCGCTCAGAATCTAAAATTTTTATGAATTTCTAACAAAATAATTTGCAAATTTTCGTGATTTCTCCATAATTTGTCATTTTTTGAACTTAAATGCTTAAAAAAAAAAAAAAACTGTGACTAACGATTTTTAATATTTTTCATCTGCCTTTGAAACAATATAGTAGGAGCCTTGTATTAAATTTTCAAGTATTTTTATTCAACAAATAAATTTTTATTGATATTCATAAAAAAAATAAAAACTAATAAAATTGGAAACTGAAAATGTCCCTAAACAGTTCAAAATAAATCAAAATATTTTGAAAATGTTATCGTGTATAGAAAATGCAAATATAAACAACCACTGAAAATTTCATGTATCTACGGTCATTTGTTTTAAAGTTACACCAAAAACCAAAATCGATTTTCTAGATAACAGATTTTGCGTAAAAATTCCCGTTTTTCCTTAATTTTTCTTTTGTTTTTCCCGGCGCTTTTGAAAACTACTTGGAAATTTAAATTTTGACCTCCCCAATGCACCAACGATATTCACTTTCCAATCGAACAAGATACTGAAGTTGAAAAACGAAGCATTATTTCGACTACTTATCGTGTACACAGACACAAAAAAAATAAATAAATAAATAAAAAAATAAAAAATAAAAAAACACACATCATTGTAAAATCAATACATTCATCGTTCCACTCAGAATCTAAAATTAGCCATATCCTGGACAGTGGTGGGGTACATGTTATGTGTTCGAACGTCATGTTTTCGAATGACGAGTGTTAGAAAAGTTATTTGTTCGAAAAATATATGTTCGAAAAGTTGTATGTACGAAAATTATTTATTTAAATTAAAAAGCTATGTAAAAAAATATTTTGAAAAATATACCTATGCAGTTACAAATCATTAATTAAAAACTTAATTTATATGAAATTGCTTTTAAAAACTCCTAATAAATAAAAGTCTCCGTTCAGTTTCAAAAGAACAAATTTTTGCTCCACATTTAGTTGAACATGTCCAGTAAAAAACGTTTCGGTCATCGCGTTTTCTTTTATAATTTTTATTTAATATGTGTAAAAAAATATTTACACTTAATAAATAATACTTTACTTCCGTGTATACTTTTTATAACTTCTATAGAACACATTTTATTCAAATAAAAAGACAAATTACATAAAACGTATTAAATTCGCAAAAAAGCTTCAGTACAGACTACAATCGCGTTTTGTTTTATACTAGACCACACCACAATAGTCATTACTAATAAGCTATAAGCAATGTTATCTACTATCTATTATCTTTATTACTTTTATTCAACGATATTAATCGGGTACGTCGATAAAATTTTCGTTTAAAAAAAAATAATAATATTTCGTACATACAACTTTTCGAACATATATTTTTCGAACAAATAATTTTAAGATTACATAACTATTCGAACAAATAACTTTTCTAACACTCGTCATTCGAAAACTTGACCTTCGAACACATGACATTCGAAGACATGACATTCGAAGACATGACCCGCTCCCCCTGGACAGGCATCCAAACAATTTCGGTGGATCCCAAATGCCTGGTGTTATCACTTGTTATGGGAGCTCAACTGTTACTAGGGCGCATGGTGGTTTAATTTTAAACCACTGACAACAAACCAATAAGTAAATTATATTATCTTCTATTTTTATACCTATAATAGCCCATGACTAAATTCTTAATTCTTACTTCTTAGCACGATTAAAGATATATCTTTAATCGTGCTTCTTAGTTATCCGTGCTAGTGTGCTACAGAAGTACAGACTAGACAAAATGTATTTACACAAGTAAGAAGTCAGAAGTAGGTAACAAATAAAATACATAAATACATAACTTTTATATATAATAATTTATTATTTTTATTAGTGTTATGTATTAACTAGTTTTGAATGTTTTTTCTTTTTAGCATTATTTTTGTTTTGATTTTTATTCATTACAAGTGCACAACTGACGCATTCTCATTATAATGTATTCAGATAAAATGAACTTTAATACTTCAGTTTTGTGATCTGGACATGGAAATTTGATTGGATCATATTCTTCAAAGAAATTATTCAAAGTGAGCTCAAAGACATCATTACTGTCACAAAACTTTGAAAATGAGTCTTCAACGGCTGACAATATTTTAAAAACAAATTTATTCGGATGGATTAAACCACCTTTGGTTTTTAGATTAACCGATGTAGCTTCTGTTTTATCTGAATAAGTTTTTGAACCTAGGAAAATAATTTACTTATATAATATCTTATAATTATAAATATACTAGCTGATCCCGTGCACTTCGTTGCCCCGTTAAATGTATCAATTCTATATGTCTCAAAGTTTGTTCAATTCGTTATTTAATATTCGGTGTATGCGGGGTTCAAAATTAATCTTAACTTTTCCGTTGCCCCGAATAAAAATTCTGATTCGCAGCAGTAATCTACCTGCGATAGATCGCGTACCCTGTGCTGTTTGTACGTAAGTGTATGATTTAACTCTAAAGTATCAAAGTTATACCAAGTTTATCGTTTTTACTTCATTTCGCCTAAGGTGGATTATTATAATCATTTTATACAAAATCCTATCCTAATCTAAACGTACTAAAAACTGATGAAAAAAAAAACAAATTTAACCCTTAGTAAATTAACCTATCTTCTTCCCAGACGTCTAATCTACCCACAAACATTAATTTATATATATACAACTATATAAATACACGGACTATAACTATACAGACTCTGGAACTACTTATTGGATCTTTTTGTATTTATTATATATATATGATATATGTATACCTATTGACAAAAAATAATGATACAAATCAAAAACATGCCCGATTAACCAATAGCAACTGATATAATATAATACACTGGTGGATTTTCCTAACATTTTTTTTTTCATATAAACCTTATCCATGAAATACTCTTTCATTTAAAAAAAATAAAGAAGATCTGATAAGAAGCTCCAGAGATAAGTAGTACAGAGATTTTCATTTCACATTTTTATAGTTAGATATTATATTACAATTTAGATTTAAAAAGTAAAGCAAATAGTTTTTTTTTTTTTATTATTTTTATTATTGCAATAGCTTAAAAACCCATGGCAACCATTTATAAACAAAAATTTCCATCTTAAATCTCAAAATTCCCGTTTGAGCACCTCCCGGGGTTGGTCCTCTCCCTTTTTAAATTAGCCTATCTTTTAAGTTGGACCAAATTACACGCGGTGTAAAAAATTTCATCAAAATCGGTTAAGTGGTTTAGGAGTCCATTGAGGACAAACATTGTGACACGAGATTTATATATATTAAGATTACCTATAATTAGTAACACATTTTTAAATTTAATGTTGTATAGTTTTAATTAATAATAATATGTTAAAAGGTACCAATTAATGCTTTTCTGCAAAGTTCACAAGTAATGCGCTTGGTGTAATTTTTAGTTATGTATCCACAAATGTAATAAATAAAGCAGTCTTTAGTTTCAGCTTTAAAGTAACTGCATATACTTGTATCAAACACAATATCAATTTCGATTTCGATTTCTTGTACAACCTGTATGTCCAATTTTTGTTTCAATAAATTAATTTTATTAGTACGCTCTGTTGTATCATTATTGAAGACATTTTTTAAGTCATCAATAGTTATTTTTGGTGTACCACTGTCCAAAATTTTGCAATCCCTGTTTTTGGTGGCTTCAAAAATCATGAATAATAAAAATGAGGTTCTACATTTCTAAGGGGATCTTCTGCAGTACATTATCGAGCATGGGGCATTAAAAAAAAAACAAGCTCGTATATGGTTAAGACAGGTAGCATTAGCTGTGCAATATTTACACACAATGGAAATAGTACATCGGGATATAAAATGTGAAAATATTCTTATTACTGAGAATTATAACATCAAGTTAACAGATTTAAGTTTTTCAAAATTTGTAAGTTCCAAAAGACTGAACTGTAGTACTTATTGTTGTTCATTGAGTTATGCACCACCAGAAATATTGATTACACGTCCATATGATGGTAAAACATCTGACATATGGTCACTTGGAGTGGTATTATATGTCATGCTTAACAAGAAAATACCTTTCAACAGAAAAAACATGAAGTTAATGTACCAGCAACAAGTACATTATCACTCTTAATACCATGTATAATTTATATATTAAAATTGTCTTTTCTTTTTGATTAAATTATTTGAAGGTCAAACGAGATTGGGAACATCGATCCTCCGTAGAGAAAATAATAAGTGAGAATGTGAAATTGTGTATAGACAATCTTTTACAACCAGAGCCTAGAAAGCGTTGGACAATTGATCAAATATTGGATAGTGATTGGATAAAAATGGATCGTAGATTGGTTAACATGACTGAACAAGAGTCACTTGCCCTTGTTGAAGTGCCAAACCAAAAAAATAACCAAAAAAAACACTTAAAAAAGATAAAAGCAGATAGGTCAGACACTCAACAGATATTGGGCAAGAGATCTAAAAATTTTTTAGTATAGCACAACAATTGGAATCAATATCTAGTTCAAATAGCGAAACGATTAATAGAAATACATCTAAAAACATGTTAAAACTTTCACAACGTATTGTTCACACTGATAAAATACTGGATAACAAAATGACTTGAAAAAAAAACTAAAAATTAAATATATCATAATAACAAATAAATTATTTGAGTGATACAACATACTTTTATTGTAACCTTGCAATATTGAAAATGTGGTAAAGTATTAATTGCTATATCAATGTAAGTATGATTTGTACTGGTAATTAAGCCCAAAAATAGGCTTTGCCAGTCTTGTATACCAACAAATCTAAAACGGTTGAGTGGGCATTGCAATAAAAGGCTCATTGATAATGTTAAATCTATAATTTAGAATAAAAAAAATTAATGAGTAAAAACAGCATAGGTACATTAAATAGACATATAAATACAAAGCATTTGCGTATCGATTATCCCTGTTATTGTAAAAATGCATTTACAATTAAATGTTAGTACGAAACAATCATTTTATATCAATGATGACTGTTTTTATCATACAAAAGTTTTATAATGCAACAGGTAATATTATTAAAAACAGTTAATTTAATTTTGGTTTATTGATTGTTATAATAAAATGATATGCAACTTACAATGGTTATCTTCTTTTTTTAGAATTTCAGTGATATCAAACGTGATTGATGTAAATATCCTAAAGCGTCTCGAATTTTACACATTGAGTATATAATTTTGGAATCTAATGGTTGTTCTGGTAATAATTTCACTAAAATACATATGTTATAAATATTTTTTTCTTCACTATTTCCTAAAATCTATAATAATAAGACATTTTTATTTAGTGTTCATGATAATCCTTTGAATAAATTATACATCAATGTTACCTGTACAACAGCATCCAAGCTATTTTTTGCATGTTTTAAATCTAAAACTCGATACAAAATGGCGGTTTGAGCTCTTAGGACAGCCATAACTATTTCCTTACGTTCTGATTTTAAGGAATCTGAGATTATTTTAACAGCTCGTAATTTTAACATTTCTGAACAACAATTTTTGATGAATTTTCAAAAATTTTTAGTATAGCACAACAATTGGAATCAATATCTAGTTCAAATAGCGAAACGATTAATAGAAATACATCTAAAAACATGTTAAAACGTTCACAACGTATTCTTCACACAGATAACATACTAGAAAACAAAAATGACTTGACAAAACATTAAAAATTAAACATATCATAATAACAAATAAATTATTTGAGTGATACCACAAAATAGAATAAGTTGATACATACTTTTATCGTAACCTTGCAGTATTGAAAATGTGGTAAAGTATTAATTGCTATATCAATATAAGTATGATTTGTACTGGTAATTAAGTCCAAAAATAGGCTTTGCCAGTCTTGTATACCAACAAATCTAATACGGTTGAGTGGGTATTGCAATAAAAGGCACATTGATAATGTTAAATCTATAATTTAGAATAAAAAAAAGGTGGGCAAGTGGGTGTCGCTCTGCTGTACAGTAGGTTACAAGTGGGTCACTGTATAATGGATGGTATTAAATTTGAATTCAATGACATAATATCATTGTATAAGAAAAACGATTCTGAGCGGTGACGGTATGTCAGTCTATGTATAAGACATATTATATACATATCTATGGTATTAAACAAAAAATTGACCTATAATAGGTACCTATAATAAATTCCAAATTAATCATATCACAATATCCATTAGATACTTATAAGTTATAACACGTTATACATCAACAAAAACCGTGATACTATCATAGATATATAATAGTACACTTTAGAAGTTTCAAGTACCCACGAATAATATTATTCAATCACAACAAAATAACTAAAATAGTTATTCTAGGTTTTTTAATATGTAATTTCGTCCAAATTTGAATTTAAAATGTCTGTAAAAAATAAGTGTGTTCATATATTTTTTAGATTTTTTGGTTACAGTATGAACTATTTACGAGAACCTTTGTTTTGAATTTGCAATCCTTAGCTATAAAAACTGAACATTTTATAATTTATTAATTACAATGATTGATAATTTTCGAGATTTTGATAAATTTTGTCAAAATTTGATCTTTAAATGCTTATAAAAAAAAACTGTGCCTATGTATTTTTAATATTTTTCAACTGCTATTGTAACAATATATCAGGAGCCTTGTAGTAAATTTTTACACTTTTTGGCCCAACAGATAAAACTTTATTGATATTTATAGAAAAAAAAACTAAAAAAAATTGAAAGCTGTAAATGTCCATAAACATCTCAAAAAGAGTCAAAATATTTTCAAAATTGTATGGTGTATAGAAAATGCTAATTTAAACATTGAGTGAAATTTTCATGTATCTACAGTTGTTCGTTTTTGAATTGCAACAAAATAAGGAAATCGCTACATGAGTAATCGAGTGAATATCCAATGTTGTAAAAATTTGAATTTCAAACGCTCATAAAAATTTAACTTGATTGTCCGGTAGAGATTTTTTTATTGATAAAGGTAGATAATCTTATAAGGAATCTTGTGTTTCATTTTCAAATCTTAGATTAAAAAGAAAAATTTTTACGAATTCTTAACTCAAAATAATTTGCTAATTTTCGTGATTTTTCCATATTTTGTAAATTTTTGAACATTAAATGCTTATAAAAAAAAATTGTGACTAAGGATTTTTAATATTTTTCATCTGCCTTTAAAACAATATATTAGGAGCCTTCTATTAAATTTTCAAGCTTTCGCAACCAACAAATAAAATTTTATTGATATTTCTAGAAAAAAAACTAAAAAAAAATGAAAAATGAAAATGTCCCTAAACAGTTCAAAATAAATCAAAATATTTTGAAAATGTTATCGTGTATAGAAAATGCAAATATAAACAACCAGTGAAAATTTCATGTATCTACGGTCATTTGTTTTAAAGTTACACCAAAAACCAAATTCGATTTTTTGGAAAATCGATTTTGCGTAAAAATTCCCGTTTTTCCTTAATTTTTATGTTGTTTTTCCCGGCGCTTGTGAAAACTACTGGAAAATGTTTACTTTTGACCCCCCAAAGTACCAACTAGATTCACTTTCCTATCAGAAAAGGTACTATTGAAGAAAATCGAAGCACTTTTACTGTCCCAAAACGTGATGACAGACACAAAAATATAAAAATATAAAAACACACATCATTGTAAAACCAATACATTCATCGCTCCGCTGAGAATCTAAAATTAATTATTAAAAACAGGAATCCCAGAAATAAAATCCACGGAAAAAAATCCACCGACGAACAACACCAGGAAAAAAAATCCCCAGACTACAATATTACTCACAACCTCATGGAAAAGGTTGAACAAATATTTTTTAAACTTTAATTAGTATCTATAATTAATATTTAATTACAAATACGTATATTATATTATATTATATTGTTAAAAAAATGTTTATATTATTAAATGTAATTATTAATGTAATTATTTTTAATATTTTGTTTTAAATTACGATAATATATTATGTGTAATTCAAATTAAATAACTAACTTAACAACGTTACAAATAGGTGTAGAATATAAAAATATTTTGAATGATCGATACGTCAAATAATACAGTTAAACACATTGTATACAAAAATATTATACAAAATATAGGTAATAGAAATAATATAAATAAATAACTATAAATAATTTTTGAAAAATTAACAACAACATTTTATACTACTATATTAATACACATTTTATGTTGGTATAATTCTGTAAAAATTAAATCCCTGAAATAAAATATTACGTTTTCAAAACTTCGAATATTACTTATGATTGTTGTGTGAGGTGTAGTGTACACAAATATATAAAATATAAAAATATTTCGAGTGATCGATACGTCAAAGAATACAGTTAAAAACATAGTAGGTATATAAATATATTATAAAAAAATTACGCAATATTTTATTTCGGGGATTCAATTTTTACAGAATTATACCAACATAAAATATATATATAGGTACCTATATTTTGTATAATATTTTTGTATACTATGTTTTTAACTGTATTATTAATTGACTTATCAATCATTCTAAATATTTTTATAATTTGTTTAACAATATAATATAATATATTATATTATAATAGAATATAATACCTATACGTATTTATCATTAAATATTAATTATAGATACTAATTAACGTTCAAAATATATTTGTTCAACCATTTGCATGTGATTGTGAGTAATATTGTAGCTGGGGATTTTTTTTTCCGGGGTTGTTCGTCGGGGGATTTTTTTTCCGATTACCTAAAAACAGTATTTGCGTATCGATTATCCCTGTTATTGTAAAAATGCATTTACAATTAAATGTTAGTACTAAACAATCATTTTATATCGATGATGACTGTTGTTATCATACAATAGTTTTATAATGCAACAGGTAATATTATTAAAAACAATTAATTTAATTTTGGTATATTGATTGTTATAATAAAATGATATGCAACTTACAATGGTTATCTTCTTTTTTTAGAATTTCAGTGATATACACGATCAAACGTGATTGATGTAAATATCCTAAAGCGTCTCGAATTTTACACATTGAGTATATAATTTTGGAATCTAATGGTTGTTCTGGTAATAATTTCACTAAAATACATATGTTATAAATATTTTTTTCTTCACTATTTCCTAAAATCTATAATAATAAGACATTTTTATTTAGTGTTCATGATAATCCTTTGAATAAATTATACATCAATGTTACCTGTACAACAGCATCCAAGCTATTTTTTTCATGTTTTAAATCTAAAACTCGATACAAAAGTGAATCGAATCAACATTTATATTTTAGATTCTGAGCGGAGCGATGAATGTATTGGTTTTACAATGATGTTTTTATATTTTTTTTTTTGTGTCTGTCATTACGTTTTAGGACAGTAAAAGTGCTTGGATTTTCTTCATCAGTAGTTTTTCTGATAGGAAAGTGAATCTAGTTGGTACTTTGGGGGGTCAAAAGTATAAATTTCCCAGTAGTTTTCACAAGCGCCGGGAAAAACAACATAAAAATTAAGGAAAAGCGGGAATTTTTACGCAAAATGGTTTTCCAAAAAATCGATTTTGGTTATTGGTGTAACTCTAAAACAAATGAACGTATATACATGAGATTTTCACTGGTTGTTTATATTTGCATTTTCTATACACGATAACATTTTCAAAATATTTTGATTTATTTTGAACTGTTTAGGGACATTTTCATTTTCCATTTTTTTTTAGTTTTTTTTCTAAAAATATCAATAAAATTTTATTTGTTGGGCCAAAAAGTGTAAAAATTTAATACAAGGCTCCTAATATATTTTTTCAAAGGCAGATGAAAAATATTAAAAATCCTTAGTCACAATTTTTTTTTATAAGCATTTAAAGTTCAAAAATTGACAAAATATGGAAAAATTAGCAAATTATTTTGAGTTAAAAATTCGTAAAAATTTTTCTTTTTAAATCTAAGATTTGAAAATGAAACACAAGATTCCTTATAAGATTATCTACCTTTATCAATAAAAAAATCTCTACCGGACAGTCAAATTAAATTTTTATGAGCGTTTGAAATTCAAATTTTTACAACATTGGATTTTCACTCGATTTCTCATGTAGCGATTTCCTTATTTTGTTGCAATTCAAAAACGAACAACTGTAGATACATGAAAATTTCACTGAATGTTTAAATTAGCATTTTCTATACACCATACAATTTTGAAAATATTTTGACTCTTTTTGAGCTGTTTATGGACATTTACAGCTTTCAATTTTTTTTAGTTTTTTTTTCTATAAATATCAATAAAGTTTTATCTGTTGGGCCAAAAAGTGTAAAAATTTAATACAAGGCTCCTGATATATTGTTACAATAGCAGTTGAAAAATATTAAATATACATAGGCACAGTTTTTTTTTATAAGCATTTAAAGATCAAATTTTGACAAAATTTATCAAAATCTCTAAAATTATCAATCATTGTAATTAATAAATTATAAAATGTTCAGTTTTTATAGCTAAGGATTACAAATTCAACACAAAGGTTCTCTTAATAGTTCATACTTTAACCAAAAAATCTAAAAAATATATGAACACACTTTTTTTTCACAGACATTTTAAATTCAAATTTGGACGAAATTACATATTTAAAAACCTAGAATAACTATTTTAGTTATTTTGTTGTGATTGAATAATATTATTCTTGGATACTTGAAACTTCTAAAGTGTACTATTATATATTATCTATGATAGTATCACGGTTTTTGTTGATGTATAACGCGTTATGAGTACCTAATGGATATGTGATATGATTAATTTTGGAATTTATTATAGGTACCTATTATAGGTCAATTTTTTGTTTAATACCATAGATATATTATGTATATAATATGTCTTATACATAGACTGACATACCGTCACCGCTCAGAATCGTTTTTCTTATACAATGATATTATATCATTGAATTCAAATTTAATACCATCCATTATACAGTGACCCACTTGTAACCTACTGTACAGCAGAGTGACACCCACTTGCCCACCTTATTCATAATGAAACTAAGGTCTTTGAGAACACCATCATGAAATAACTGCAAGAAAAATACGTTAGTACATAAATATTTATATCTAAAATTGATATTTATTTGTTTAATAAAGTAGTTATAATTACTTCCTCACGGCACTCTGAATTCATACTGTAGTCTCCAAGAATGCTTAAAACTAATGATGTTATTTTAGGGTTAACTTGTTGTAGTAATCTGCTCAATATTTTGACACCACCATGTTCTTGAAATTCTTTTAATGCTCCATTTTTTTTTGCCATTTCGGAACGTAAATAAACTAGACTTCCATAACCTTTATTAGCAGCCACATTTGCAAGTGCTGATGTCACCGAATCCATACCTGAAATAATTTAATAATTTATTCAGATCATTTTTAATGTTTTCCCAAATTAACAATAGTTCAAAAGTTTCAAATTGAACAATATGCCAGGTTATGATACTAAAATTGTGATTTATCATTTGCCTATAATCTATATCACGGCCTAAGATATAATGGACTGGCATCCAAACAATTTCGGTGGATCTCAAATGTCTGGTGTTATCACTTCTTATGGGAGCTCAACTGTCACTAGGGCGCATGATGGTTTAATTATAAACCACTGACAACAAACCAATAAGTAAATTATATTATCTTCTATTTTTATACCTATAAGGATATAATAGCCCATGACTAAATTCTTTTTTATTCATTACAAGTGCACAACTGACGCATTCTCATTATAATGTAATCAGATAAAATGAACTTTAATACTTCAGTTTTGTGATCAGGACATGGAAATTATTCAAAGTGAGCTCAAAGACATCATTACTGTCACAAAACTTTGAAAATGAGTCTTCAATGGCTGACAATATTTTAAAAACAAATTTATTTGGATGGATCAAACCGCCTTTGGTTTTTAGATTAACCAATGTAGCTTCTGATTTATCTGAATAAGTTTTTGAACCTAGGAAAATAATTTACTTATATAATATCTTATAATTATAAATATATTACCTATAATTAGTAACACATTTTTAAATTTAATGTTGTATAGTTTTAATTAATAATACTATGTTAAAAGGTACAAATAAATGCTTTTCTGCAAAGTTCACAAGTAATGCGCTTGGTGTAATTTTTAGTTATGTATCCACAAATGTAATAAATAACGCAGTCTTTAGTTTCAGCTTTAAAGTAACTGTGTATACTTGTATCAAACACAATATCAATTTCGATTTCGATTTCTTGTACAACCAGCATTGAAAAGTATGTCCAATTTTTGTTTCAAACAATACGTTGTGAAAGTTTTAACATGTTTTTAGATGTATTTCTATTAATCGTTTCGCTATTTGAACTAGATATTGCATCCAATTGTTGTGCTATACTAAAAAATCTTCTAGATCTCTTACCCAATATCTGTTGAGTGTCTGACCTATCTGCTTTTATCTTTTTTAAGTGTTTTTTTTTGTTATTTTTTCGGTTTGGCACTTCAACAAGGGCAAGTGACTCTTGTTCAGTCATGTTAACCAATCTACGATCCATTTTTATCCAATCACTATCCAATATTTGATCAATTGTCCAACGCTTTCTAGGCTCTGGTTGTAAAAGATTGTCTATACACAATTTCACATTCTCACTTATTATTTTCTCTACGGAGGATCGATGTTCCCAATCTCGTTTGACCTTCAAATAATTTAATCAAAAAGAAAAGACAATTTTAATATATAAATTATACATGGTATTAAGAGTGATAATGTACTTGTTGCTGGTACATTAACTTCATGTTTTTTCTGTTGAAAGGTATTTTCTTGTTAAGCATGACATATAATACCACTCCAAGTGACCATATGTCAGATGTTTTACCATCATATGGACGTGTAATCAATATTTCTGGTGGTGCATAACTCAATGAACAACAATAAGTACTACAGTTCAGTCTTTTGGAACTTACACATTTTGAAAAACTAAAATCTGTTAACTTGATGTTATAATTCTCAGTAATAAGAATATTTTCACATTTTATATCCCGATGTACTATTTCCATTGTGTGTAAATATTGCACAGCTAATGTTACCTGTCTAAACCATATACGAGCTAGTCTTTCTTCTAATGGTCCATGCTCGATAATGAACTGCAGAAGATCACCTTAGAAATATAGAACCTCATTTTTATTATTCATGATTTCAATAAATTATATTTTATACAGAAAAGTCAAATTTAAGAGGTGTAAAAAAATAAGAACTGTATACACCAATGAAATGAGAGTATTGATCTACTGAAAATTATTGATGTCTATAATTTTAAAAACTTAATTTTTTTTTATGACTCCATTTAATTTTAGTGCAATAAATAAAATCTTATTTGAATTAAGTAGACTACATATTTTAAATAATGTTGTAAATTACTATGACAAAAAGTGTTACTGACTAATTGTTTTTGATGATCCTAGACCTGTTTTTTATATTGTTACCTATATATTTTAGTTAATTAATAATAATGGTTTTTGTACCTCTTTCTGCAAATTCCATAAAAACAAATATAACCGTTTTCTTTTGTAAAATACTGTGTGTATATATTATATACGGATGATTAATTTGACGTATAATATCTAGCTCGCGAGGCAAAAACTTAGAAACATAATCTTTGTTCGTTTTTCTTGTATCAATTATTTTCACTGCCAAATTCAATTCGTTATCTTCTTGTATATATTTAGCATGGCGTACTTCACCGTAACTTCCATTTGATATGTTATCTAATATAATGTATCCGTCAGACTTAAGAATGTTTGTTTTCGAAAAATCTTTATCCAATTTTGTAGTTTTAACATGAAATAAAGACATTATTGGTAAAAAATATTTTAAAACTATATTTATTTAAATAATTTAATTTTTAGTGAGGAAAACTAATAATTTTTCCCATGGTAATATAATATAAGAATGAAAATAATATTTATTAGCCAAGACGGTAATTTACAATATTAATATAGTATGCTATAATGTACATTATATTTGTTTAATTATAGAAAATGGTAGAAAAAGGTTTGATTCCTATGTTGATCAAGCTTTTATCTTTGTACATAAAAACAAATAAAATGCCTCATATGTGTCCATTGTAGATGAATGCAAAATCATTAGATTCTTCATTATTTGTTAGCTGTGCCTCTCCAACAACTACGTATGATCATGATGCAAGCCCTATTTGGACAACGCCTAAAGATGATAATATAGCCACAGACTCGCATTCTCCATATTATTCACCAGTTTGTGAATCTTTGGATATTGAGTCTGTGAACGCAGATGATTCAAAATCTGATGTCAGTGACTTTGAAGAAAAGGTCAAATAAAATTCACAATACTTCAACGAGACAGCTACAAAATTGTCTATTATCAATTTAACTTATTTTAATATCTAATACAAATGTGTAATCAAATTTTAGGATGATTATAAATTTAAAATTGTAGAACATTCACTTCCAGATGAAATTGTAGAACATTCATCTCTAGAAGATACACTAATGTGTAAAATAATACAGTTCCTAACACATGTAATGTACATAGAAAAAGTTGTATTATTAATTTTTCTTCTCCTCCTTCTTTAGGCATTTTAAAGACCATTAAGGTCCATTGCCGCATCAACAACATCCCTCCGTTTCTCCCTGTCCCTTGACACTTCTTCTCCATTCTCTATCCCTATTATTCTGAGGTCTTCCTTAATTCTATCTGCCCACCGTTGTCTGGGTCGTCCTCTGGGCCGTTTCGTGCTCGGTCTCCATCTCGTTATGTTCCCCAGTATTCCTTCCGATCTCCAAACATGAATTGCCCATCTTAATCTATAACTCTGCATAATTCCTATAATATTGGCTTCTCCAAATAAACTTCTTAACTCTTCATTTGTCCTGACTTCAAACTCGCCTACATTATTCTTTTTTGGTCCATAAATTTGTCGGAGTATTTTCCTTTCAAAAACACCCAATTTGTTTTCATCCGTTTTGGTGGTTGCCCATTTCTCGCATGCGTATAGTACTATGGGTCTAATTAAAACTTTGTACAATGTTATCTTTGATCTTCTTGAGAGTAATTTTGATTTGAAAAGTGTTGATAGTCCAAAGTAGCATCTGTTTGCTGCTATCAACCTCTCTTTTATTTCTTCGTGACTATTCGCGTTTTCATTCACCCACGCTCCAAGGTATTTGAAGTGTTCTACTCTTTCAAATGAATAACCTTATATTTCTAAATTTCTTGCCATGTGATGTTTCCTGGACAATATTAGATATTTTGTTTTCTCTTCGTTTACGCTAAGACCGATTTCTGCCCCTATCCTTATTAGTTCTTTTGCAGATTGTTTTAGACTTTCCTCATTTTCTGTAGTTAACACTAGATCATCAGCATAGGCTACAATTGCAAGCTGTTGGTTATCACTGATTTTTATTCCTTTCGCCTTGCAAAGGACTTGTCTCACCACTGACTCTAAGGCAATGTTAAACAAAGCCGGTGATAAAGCGTCTCCTTGTCTGAGACCTGTCGACACTAGGAATTCATTTGAATAGTCTCCTCCAAAATTCACCTTGCATTTAGAGCCTTGTACGCACGTTTTGATCATTCTTATAAGCTTTTCTGGTATTCCTATCCGGGCCATTACATTCCACAATTTATTTCTATCTATTGAGTCGTATGCTGCTTTAAAATCCACAAATAGCATATGCACGTCTTTATTGAATTCATGGCTTTTTTCTGCAACTCGTTTTATTATATGAATCTGATCTATAGTCGATTTACCTACCATGAATCCTGTCTGGTATTCTCCAATAACGTCTTTAATAAATGGTTTCAATCTGTTTAATAGGAGGTTAGATAATACTTTGTACGAAGTGGTTAACAGAGAAATTCCTCTATAGTTCTTCGGATCCATTTTATCTCCCTTTTTATGGCATAGGACAGATATTTTCCATGATTCTGGAATCTCCTCCTATTCCCATATATCAGTAATTAGGTTGTGAAGTTGTTGAGTCAGCTTCTTTCCTCCTTTTTTTTGCATTCAGGGACTACTTCATCAATTCCAGGGGCCTTTCCATTTTTCAGCATTTCTAATCCCATTTCTATTTCTTGTATCGTTGGTTTGTCCAATAGTTCTTCCGCCGTTACATTAACTTCTATTGTGGTCCTATTTTCTTGTTGATTCAACATCTCTTCAAACATCTTACTACCATTTTCATTCGTTTCTCTGTGTAGGCTTTCTTTCCCAATTGTCGGTCCATACATTATCTCTTTGCCTATTTTTGAGGTTGAAATCTCCTAGTACTATTTTTGGTTTCCAGTTTGGTAGGCTATCATATAGTATTTCCAACTCATCATAGAAAGCAGTTTTTATGTCATCGTGTTTGTCCTCCGTTGGTGCGTAACAATTAATCATTATTACGTTGTACCACTTACATTTAAGTTCTAATATGCATAGGCGGTCGTTTATTGATTTAAAATTTACTATGTTCGACATGATTTTATCTTTCACTATGAAGCCTACTCCTCGTTCATGTTTCGTTCCTCCACTATAAAACATTGTCATCCCCTGAGATGTTATACTCCCTGAGTCTTCCCATCTCACTTCTTGAATTGCAGTAATATCTAACTTATATCGTTCAAGACACTATATAGTTGTCTTCAAAGCTCCGGTCCTATATAGAGATCGCACGTTCCAGGTTCTAATTGTTATATCCGATAGCTCCAATGTCCGAGGCAATTGCTGTTGTTGTTTCATAATCAGAGTTTTTTTCCGTGTAAGGGGATTGGCCTTACGACAACCCCCAAAAAGGAGGATCTTACTACTCCAACCAATTAAGGTCAGAGTAGAGAGAACTGAACCAACTAATTAAAGTAAGTTCAGTACTTAGCTCGGGGCCCCGGGTTCGCCAAACCCGTAGTGCTAATTCCTTAGCACCTCCCTGAGGGTGTTGTATTATTAATGGCTGATAAAAATGTGTGTATAAAATGTGTCAATATGTTGTATTATTAATGGCTGATAAAAATGTGTGGGAGACAATTTTAGATCATATGCAATATATTGAAAATGGACATAACAATTCAAACGCATTAAAGATATAAGAGTTTATTACTCGGTACGTTTTTCTTTTTTGTTCAGTATCACAATAAACTATTATATTGTATGTTTTTGTTTTATAGTGAAGTTCTGATCTTAAATAGCATTCTCACTGAAGAGTTCATTTTAACAACACATTGAAGGCTATGTAGACCTATTCACGAACTTGAGCGGTGCAAGTATTGTATGATCCGAAACAAATTGAGTATGAAAATCACCAAAAATACTCAATCATTTTCATCAAAGTTTGGAGAAGGTATGATGACTGGTATAATGGATGAACCAGATACACCAGATGCTAAACTAAAACTTAAAATATTAGTATCTGTTCACATCCCCCTTGTCATTCAAAGGTAAGTTGTATGTTATAGTTTAATAACTAACAATTTTTAAATTTTTGTTAATAAACTATAAACTACGGATAAGAAAATTGTTTACAAATTTAAATTGCGTAGGTAATTTAAATATGAATATAGATTAACCATTACAAAAACTTTTTACAAATTAGGTTATTCTATACTCTATAATATTTTTATTCAAATTTTAAAAACACTTGGATGCAACCAAGTTTTGGTTAGGTAACGCTCACCTGTTGCCCACTTAGCGTACTATAAGTGACGTACTTATCTATAACAAACGATTTTCGCTGTAGTTTAGTTAATCCCTAGAACAAAATATAGGGAGTTTCGTCGGTATTTCCCTAATAAACAACTGTTAACTTTGCCAACATCCATTATTAGAGTTAGAAACTTACTTTACACAACACAAAAAAGTGATAACGTGATAACAAGTACCTACTGCTCTCTATAAAGTATATTTTTTTTTCTGGAGTATTTGTGTGTTTTTCTTCACTTGAAGTGTTTTTGCTTGTACGTCTAAACTCTCTCAAGCCTCGTTCGTGTTATCCATCTATATTTTGCAGTGGAACAGTCAAAAAATTGTCACTCATCTTTCTGACAGAGAACTATCGTGAGTACAGTCTACTTCTTATCAACAATTGTTTGGACTAGTCTGGCTGATTACGTATCAGCTGTTTCTTCACCTCCGTTCTCTTGGAGACTTTGACGCGTGGATACAAACTTTATTAGTATTAGTAATAGTACTACTTTTCATTCCGCACGCATCGCTGTAACTTTGGTTGCATCTTCTCTCTTAAAGGAACAGGTTAATTTGTGACGTTCGTTTTTGCTGAGCTATGCCCCCGACGACTCCAAATGCTGTCTCCCAAGTTGCTACTCGTGCCAAAACGGCCGCTCTACTAACCTTAGATGTTTTTAACAAAACTATGGCTGAGCACCAAAAAACTCAAATTGAAACCCTGGACCAATGTAAACTACTATGTGAATCCCAAAGTTCTAAGTTTACTGAGCTGAAAGAAAGCATTAGTCATCTGTCAACTCAGGTGGCGGACTTAAAATTAGACAATGACAATCTTCGTGAGAACATCTCTAATCTCAACAAGCGTATCCAAGACCTCGAAGCGGTAAACAGTTGTCGTCCTACTTTTTCGGCTAGCACTGTCCCTAGCATTCTTCAAGAGATCTCCGAGCGTGAGCGATGCTCTCGGAATGTCATTATTCGTGGATTAAAGGAATCGTCATCTTCTGTTATAGAAGAAAGAATCTCAGATGACACTTCGAAAATAGCTGAGATAATCGACCCATACTTTCCTGAAGCAGTTGCTAATCTCAAGTCAATCAGACTTGGCAAACCTAATGATAGGGGTCCGAGACCTCTCAAGGTATTCTTCTCTTCCAAAGAAATAGCTCTCAAACTAGTTTCTGACTTCAATAAAAATGCCAGAGGCCTTCCCCCTGACAGCAGGCCTCGTTCTGTCACTATGACCCGTGATCGCACCCCACTTGAACGAGAGTCTATCCGTCTTGTATACACCGAATTGGAAAACCGTAAAAAGAACGGAGAAACTGACCTGACGATCAACTACAGAGATGGATTCCCCTTCATTGTGCCACTTTCTCGGTCATCGCAGACCAGACGCCATCATGCGTCTACTTCTACATTTGTCCATCCAAAAAACTATCAAGTACCGACCTGCCACTGCCTAATCAACCGCCTCCTGCTTCGAACAAAGCCTTCTTCTACTACTGCTCATGTCTTTCAGATCTACACCACAACTGTATGTATAACTTTAAATCTCAATCGTCTTACTGTACGCGCTGCCACTCAGCTCAACAAACTTTAAAACCCTTCGTATTGTATTTTAATAACTTTAAAACTTCATTTTCTAAACCAGATGATAATCCTAATACTAAAAGCAATAAGTTATGTAATAAGGCCCTTAATTCCAATCTAAAAATATTCTATCAAAATGTACGTGGCCTAAAAACCAAATTAGTCAATCTCAGATGTTCCTTCCCAATGTTTAACTTTTATGACGTCATTATCCTCACTGAAACTTGGCTAACACCTGACATAAGTGATAGTGAATTAGGTTTTCATGGCTTTCAGGTGATTAGACTCGATAGAAATCCAAACAACAGTTCTTTTCTCCGAGGAGGTGGAGTATTAATTGCCATCAATAATTCCATTAAATACCATCCTATTACATTAAGTACCTCGAATGTTGAGCAAATATTTGCCTTACTGTCCTTCAACTCTAATTATTTATTGGTAGGTGGTGTTTATTTACCTCCACACTCTCCTCTTCCTGTAGTTGAATCCCACGTTGCTTCTGTTGAGCAAATCATATCCTCCTATAAATCTGTATCAGTTATCCTTTGTGGTGACTACAATCTACCTAATGTTACATGGTCATCTGATGAACTAGGATTAATTGCCACAAGTGATCACAATATGGTTACCACATCTATTATAGACTCTTTTTCTTACTTAAATTTCTTTCAACATAACTTCCTTCCTAATAGTCATGGCAGCATTCTAGATCTTATTTTTTCAAACTCCAATAAAGTCACTAGCAGTACAGCAACTGAATCACTTGTTATTCCTGACCCTTATCACCCGCCTCTTCACATAATCTTTCCTTTCCAATCTCATAATGTGGCAGATAACACCCATACCTATAAAGACTTCAAAGATGCAAACTACTCTGGTATATCGCAATTTTTTAACTCATTTAACTGGGAGTCTACCTTTTCACAATATTCAATCGACGGTGCTGCCTCTATTTTTAATGAAGCCCTGCTTCATTCCATTGAGTTGTTTGTTCCTACAAAAATTTACAAGTTACCAAAATTTCCTCTCTGGACCTCTCCCACACTTAAAAATCTTATTTTAAAGAAAAAGCGTGCCCATGCAGTTTTTAAGCGGACTAAGTTGCCATGCGACTACTTAGCTTTTTCTGAGCTGCGTGCGAAATGTAAACACACTTCTAAGATAGACTATCAGTCATATATAAGACATACAGAATACTCGCTCACTCACAACCCCTCTTCCTTTTGGAAGTATACTAAAAATCTCAGTAAGCACAACACGCTACCCTCCACCTTACGTTGGGATACCACTACGGCTGATAATCCTCGTGATTCTGCCAATTTGTTATCTAAGTACTTCTATTCCATGTATAATCCCTCTATTTCTCCACCTTTTAATCCCCTTACAAATAATAGATATCCGTACGAACTTCCTTCTAATTGCCTCATTACTCTTGATGATGTGCAACTTGCACTTAACTCCCTAAAAAATAACAATTCCAATGGTCCTGATGGTGTTTCTGCACGTTTACTTTTTAACTGTCAAGACTCCATTGTTTACCCTTTATTTCTGCTCTTTAGACAATCACTCGATGAAGGTATTTTTCCTGCTGTGTGGAAGACCAGCTCTGTTACCCCTGTTTTTAAATCTGCTGATCCCTCACTTGTTTCTAATTACAGGCCTATTTCTATTCTTCCCCACATTTCAAAACTACTTGAGTCCATTGTATACACTAATATCAAAAGAAGTCTTAACCATATATTAGTGGCTGACCAGCATGGTTTCCGTCCTGGGAAATCTACTACCACCTGTACCCTAGCTCTAACGTCGTATATTCTGGAGAGCTTTGAGTCCGATTGCTAAGTTGATGCCGTGTTCACTGACTTTAGTAAAGCTTTTGACTCGGTTATCCATAGCCATCTTATCTCTGAACTAGAATCACTCGGTATTGGGAACCCTTTACTATCATGGCTCCAATCTTATCTCAGTCCAAGAATGCAATTTGTGAAAATCCATGGTGCTACCTCTGACTTGTCTATAACTCCTTCTGGAGTCCCTCAAGGAGGACATCTTAGTCCTCTACTGTTCATAATTTTTATTAACTCAATTAACAATTACCTTTCATTCTCCAAAGTCCTTCTATTTGCGGATGACATTAAAATTTATTCTAAAGTTGCTTCTATCTCCGACTGCCGTCAACTTCAGTCAGATCTCGACTCCTTCTGTCTCTGGACTCAGCGTATAGGCCTTACGCTCAATCTCAACAAGTGCCATAGTATGACATTCCACAGAAAGCGAATACATATTATCTTCCCTTATTCCCTCAATGGCTCCCCACTCGAACGTGTTTCTTCTGTCAAAGACCTTGGTATCTACCTAACTCCATCTCTTTCTTTCGAACAGCATATTAATATAACAGTTGGTAGAGCCTTAAAAGTCCTAGGTTTCATAAAGCGCAACACTAGCCTTTTCACGTCCTCCACTTGTCTTCGTTCCCTCTATTTCTCTCTTGTCCGCTCTATTTTGGAATATGGAATTGTTGTATGGCATCCATATTTGGCTAAAGACCAATTACGCTTAGAGCGAGTTCAAAATCGATTCCTCTCATACGCTGCTTTTCTGCTCAAGATTGTTCACCCGCCCCATGACTATTCATCCATTAGATCTTCCTTGAATATCCCTCTTCTTTCTTCTCGCCGTATAGAGGCTGACCTTTCCTTTGTCACCTCTCTTCTTAATGGCACTGTTGATGCCCCCGACCTTCTTTCCTCTATCTCTTTCCGCGTTCCTGTACATAACACTAGAAATCACTCACTTTTCCTTGTCCCTTCTCACCGTTTCAACTACTCTCATAACCATCCTTTACACAGAATGCTTCGTCTGCTCAATAACTAATAGATCATGATATTTTAAATGTGTATATTACTTAAGTTAGTTAGTTTTTAGTTTCATTATATTGTTATGTTTTTATTTGTACTAAATATTTAGTTTTTTGCTCTGTAAATTACTATGTTTCACCTCGTTTTTTATATAAGATTACTCCATCACATTGTTACTTAATATTCTCTGTATATAATTTGTATTGTAAATCTCTTGAATTGCCGATTGGCGTTAAATAAACAAATAAATAAATAAATAAATAAATTTACTAAAAGTCCTTACAATATGTAACTAAAATTTATTTTATTATTAAAAAAACCATAATAAATATAAAATGTTAGGACATCAAAAATAATTGATAATTTATGAATTAATAATTACTTAACCTGATCTAACTCAAATATTTCTAATGATTATACGACTTCGGATATTTAATATTTTAGGAATTTTTAACAAAATACAACAATATAGTTGAAAAAAAAAATTATGAAGGTAGTCAAATAAGTATTTCGGATTTCCTAGTAATACGATTCCATATTTCGTATTCGGATACCAAATAATGATGGCCACGAGACACGAACGTCCGGAACACATACTGATGTTTAATTCTTTGTACAATATAGCAATGTATAGGAATTTTGTTTCCCAAAGTGATTTCCAAACACAACATTGACCGACAATACTACATTTAGAAAATTAATTTAATGCCAAAAATTCACTAATATGCTAACAAAATTTTCAAATATGCGCTTTTCAATATAAAATTTACATGACAAGATATACAATAAGTGATGCATAGTCAAACGTTGTATTATTAAATATATTTCACAAAAAATGTATATCTTACCCAAAGTCTAAAATAATATACGAACACCATTAAATACAAAAAATCCTGAACCCTATTCCATTATAAATAAATTGAAAATTACATTAGCAAATTCAGCAAATAGCTCTGCTGGTAATTGGTATAATATTATATTTATGAAAATGTTCTTATTTTTTTCTTTATCTTATTCAACTATCACGTCATGGTCACCAGGAACATTTTAATGACTTCATGTCTTTATCTTTCTATATTTTTTTAATTTACCTTGTTCCATGTATCATATTGAATCTATATAAAATATTCTTACACTATAAATCATAGATTATTGTATACTAATTACTTATATCTTCTTTCATCAACAAACTTTATTTAAATCAAATGATCAATATAATTGTATTTTTCAGCAATCCCAAACTATTGATTCTACTGTTATCTCGTTACAAAGTATATTACATGTTGTGTAATATAATTAAAGATGACCAAAATCCATCATTTGATGATGCTATTGGAGCTTTAATAGCTTTATTTGATTAAGTAAAAATTACTTTTAAAAAATCAGAAATACAATATTGCCAAACCCGAGATTGCAATAAAAGTATTGTACAAAAAGAAACTACTGTAACAATAGAGATGGACGATGGTGTGTTAATAAATGCAAATAAATCCTTATTATCGTTAAAATCTCCAATGTTTGAGGCCATGCTTCGATGTGGAGGTTTTAAGGAAGCATAGGTACCAAAATACTGTACGTTTAAATGATGTAAGTTCTGATTGTATCAAATCATTTTTACTTCTACTTGAAGTATATTGTGATAGTCTTTTGCCCGAAAATATCAATGTTCTCTTAGAATTAATAACAGTCACAGATCAATACATGTCAAATGAATTATCTGAAAAAATTATTATCTTTATGATAAATTCTATTTCGGTTGATAATTGTGATATAATTTATGGATGGGCAAAAGATTTTGGTCATCAGTTAAGACTCGGAGCTTATGTGGATTTAGATGTTGTCAAATATTTGTTTACTTCAAATTCAAGATTCCCTGACCGCGTAAAAACTATCAAAAAAATCAGTAGAAGTAGTTACGGAAAATTTTTTATTGAAGATCTAACAACCTTAATAAAACGTGGATTGTCGAGTATAATAACTTTTGATGATAAAACATCATTATTTTATCTGATCAAATTACATAGTGGACTAGATTAATCTAGTAACATAAGTACATCACTAAATAGTATACAGTGCTCACTAATTTAAAATGTGTGATTATGAAATCTCCATTTTTCGACCGCATTAAATTAGTACAATTAGTAGGACACTATATTATACCTATTAAATTTATATTATATTGTATGATATTTATGTTTTGTGATTTTTTTTTTCATATTAGTATTATCATTGTAAAATATTAATAAAGACTATTTATGGTAAAAACATAATTACTTAATACTGATTATTTATTGTTAATGTTCTTAATGAATACATTTTATTCAAACAACATCTATTCATACTGTTAATGTCTTAATGCTAGAATATGATAACTCCCTTGACTACAACATAAACAATGAGGAAACAAATTATTATTTTCTGTCGAATGTATATTTGATGTCGTTTGATTTTCGTTAACATGTAATATCTGACTGTTATCTGAAATTAGGCGAATCCAAGTTAAGCTAAAAGTATTGTATTTTGTATAATAACACGAGAAAACTCACCATTTGATTACACATCCATTAGGTCCGTTTTTAGATTGTCATGTTTATTTTTCATTGAGTTCTTGTACATTTTTATTGCTTCTTCATAATTTGGAGGCGCCTCGTAATCTGGTGGTGGTTCATATGCTGGTGGTTCGTCAATTAAATAATTTGAATTCACCCTTCCTATTTCTGAAGTCAGACTGTTGTCTTCTAATTGAATTCCTTCCACTTGAAAACACAACGATGGTTTAACTTTGTGTTAAAATGTAATAATGTTATATTAATTGTACTCACAAAGTAGTTGACTGATGGATATAAGTCGATTTTGAAAATCTGTCTGAATGTGGTAACTTGTAGCAATTTTATAGACTACCATTAGAACTATTATGAAGAATATTATGAAACCTGTAATGACAAAAATAAGTATAGGTAGACGTACATGTTATGGGTGCGATGCGCATTGGTTAAGTTCAATCAAAATATTGTATTATCTATCATAGCTTTTAAAGTTTTAACCTCATTAGTGTTCTATCCATTCAATGATAATCGGTCAGAGTTAATTTGAAAAAGTGGACAAAAACCCACATTTAGCACATTTTTATTGTCAGACAAAAAATCCAAAAATAGAAAAAACTCTATTCAATTTTCATTTATAGTTATCAGTGTCATATTTATGCAAGGACAAATGGGAAATTTGCACTGGGCCCACTCAAAAGAGAAGCCCACCAACTTCAGGCAAACAAAATATTAATTTTATATTATACCTTTTTATCATACTTTGGAAAAACAAAATAGATTTGGATTTTACTTGGATATTTTGGTGGGTTATAAAGTATAATGAATTTTCCCTGAAAACGACGACTTTGCCGACAACAAAATCTAATTGCCGTTATCATTGTAATATCGCCTTAATATTACTATTTACGTTATTGTCTATTGCGTTGTTATGTGATATACATCAGTCATATTTATTCTATATCTATTCGTCATTTGTTTATTATTTTTAATAATTTAAATTGTCAAAAAAATACTTAATCAGTTCAATGAATGGAAAATTAAAGGATAGACTATAGATGAAGAAACAAAAAAATTACACGGTAGTTTAGATAAATTTAAGTTTAGAACTAGTTTATCTACAATTCTACAATATAGCTCACAATCGAAATGTTTCTAAAAATTGATTAGCTGAAATCAAATTTGACTTAAAACATTAAACTTAAAAACTTTTACATAGATATAATATAAGTGTAATAATCAAAAATACTAATTTTTTTTAAAACAAAAGACGTTTGCTTTTAAATTTGTATCTATATTTACTTGAATAAAAATTAAATATTAATTATAGACGCATTGAAAGTGTAAAGTGTTCTTGTATATTATATAATCAAATTTTTAACAATACAATTTAGGTAGGTAGGTACCTATATAAAACAATATTGTTTTGATAAATGGTAATATTATAATCATGTTGAGTCCAGTGGCGTAGCCAGGGGGGGTTTTGGGTGTTTAAACACCCCCCATTTACATTTCCCCACCACTAATAAATATATTGCTTATAGGGTTCGGGACTTCTTGCATGTTTTATTGTAGTGGTAGTAGGTTATTTTAGATAAGTTATAAATTTGTCTTATGAAACTTTTTTGTCTTATCAAACGATGTTTGAATTTGCATATTTTTGCATATTGTATAGGAAAAGTGTACATTTGAGCGATTTTTCGTATATTTATGCATATATTGAACTTTTTAACTTAAATGTAGGTACTTACATACAATTTCCGAGAAAAATCATATTTGGATAACATTGAAAAATATCTTTAAAAATAATATGTTTGGTTAGGTACAATAGGAGCTAATTTTGAGATTTGGGGAAGGCGAAGCCTAAAATTTCCTATTATAAAATTGAATAAGCTTAAACAATTTTAGTAAATGTTTGGGAGGGCTGTTAAAGTTTTTGCCTTTTGGTGAAGCTAGGCTACGGTTGGCCCTATTTTCGCATATGGTACTTAAAATTTTATAAGTCTCTTTGTGACAAGACTGTATTAAAACTATAATTGACATCTAGATTCTAGATTGTACGAAGAAATGAAAATCAGTAGATACGTGTTCGTTTGTCACGGGGTTCGCATATCACGTTATTCGTTATTACTTATTTATTAACCTAGTATTTTATGGCAGTATTTTTAAAAATCAAGTTTTATTTAACAATAGTTTAAAAATGTCCAAAACATGCAATAGCTGTGTCCTCTGTCCAAATTCAATTTGTATACCCGCGTTTAAATTATTTTTATCATTTTTATATACCTACTTATTTTTTAGTTTTTTATTACAAAAATTGTATTATGTTTTATGAATTTTTCAAAAATAATATAAAAATGTAGCTGCATATATTTAAGCATATTTTGAAAACGTTGACTGCATATTTCGATAATTTTTAGTGCAACAAGTCAAGTCCCGAACCCTAAATTTATTTATATACGAAAACTGTAAACACTTTAATCTATACTTAAACACCCCCCATTTCATAATTCTGGCTATTGATGTTGACTAATTGACGAAATCAATTTAAATATTATTTTCCTGTCTTGGTGACGAGGACGACAATCATTACTGTATAATATTTAACCTATATTCATTGTTTTCCAATTTTTGTTATCAATTGTCACTAATTAATCATTTTCTAGGTTATTCACTTCGATTAATTGTAACGGTGAGTTAGTTATTTCCTTACCAACCTATGAATGCTGGCCTTTGTGAGTGGTATTCTAGTGGTATTCTGAACTAGGTAGGTCCCTACCTAATATTTAGTTTTAACTACCTATTTAATTATAATAATATTATGACAATTGTATGAAAATTTAAATTTATTGTAATAGGTGTTTTAATTTGACTTAAGCTAATACCCCCCTTGCTTAATATTTCTACGGGTTCCCTTGTCTGTTACTATAAGCCATTAGTTACCTACATTATAGATTGTAGGTACCAATTATTTATTATATATGCTATTATTGCTACTCACCAATAAAACATCCCAAAAGGATATGATATCGTTTTGAATATAAAGTGTTGTTCGGGAAATAATAGTTTGTCTTGTATGCATACCAACTCTTGTCCATGTAATCCGATTGGGTGTCTACAAAATAAAAAAAACCTTAGAAGGTTGTCGTTATTGTTACCTATATCATTATATTAACCCATATACACCCAGTGGCCTATATGTAGGACACCGGAAATAATTATTGCTATCGGTTTTATTTTTAGAATTTTCCCCATTTTATCGATTTAGGCTGTTAGATAATATAATAATCGACCCGATGATATTATTTTGCGTTGTATAGTCGAACGTTATAACGTGTTAGTAACATTTTGTACACCGCCTTGTTCAAATAGAAAAATGGCTTCATCGTCAAAGTAAGTGAACTATATTTTAGATTTTTTTTTTATACATAAAACACATACAATCATATATATTACTATTTACATTTTATATTTTTATAAATTAAATTAATTTATTCCACATACTTTTTCATTTATTTGCGTTTAAATATTAGTGTTCTACATGTAGGTCACTGGGATATTCTGTAGCCTAATATGTATATTTTTTTTAGATCTCTTTGTGTGAATGATATTATAAATTTGCTGGAAGCAGATGAGCTGAGTGAAGATACTATTTTCTTAGAACCTCCGGATGAAAATATTACTGACGAAGACTCCGATAACGATGAACATACAGGTGATATAAACCATTTACCTGCTAGTGTATTGAAAGCTAATGTTATTTTACCGAAAGAAATTCTCAACACCGACAATTATTACGAATCAAAAAAAAAAAAAGTTGTGACTACAAAAAAAAATCGGGTTGTAGTGGGCATGAAAAAAAGTCAAAAAGATTCATCTCAAATTTGGCGTGAAGGAGATTTAGAGACTCCTAAAATAACAGAGCTTTGGGGTCCAGATGAAAACAGTAAAATAAAATATGGCTCACTTGCGCCATTTGAACTTTTTGAATTATTTTTCGATGATCAAGTTTTTGATTCTATTGTACAATATACAAACATTTATGCTTCTTCTAAAAATATTTCCTTGGACTTGACAAAAAATGAATTGAAATGTTTTATTGCAATTCTCTTATTATCTGGGTATAATGAAATGTCTCGGCGACGTATGTACTGGGAAAAGGCCCCTGATACAAATAATGGTTTAGTGTCCAATGCTATGAGGCGAAATAGATTTGACGATATATTTCATAATCTTCACTTTTCAAACAACAACAACTTGGATAATTCTGATAAATATGCAAAAATAAGACCGTTGATTACTATGATAAATACTAGATTCCTAATGCACGCTCCTCACGAAGAATTTCATAGCATAGATGAATCCATGGTGCCATATTATGGTAAACATGGATGCAAACAATTTATCCGAGGAAAACCAATTCGTTTTGGATTTAAAGTGTGGGTTGGGACATTGCGTCTAGGATATGCATTATGGATCTCTCCTTACCAAGGAAAAAATACCGGGTTCAACCAAACAGATGTCGGATTAGGAGGATCTGTTATTTTAGCTTATGCTAACCAAATTATAAACCATCGACCTGCTCCATATCATTTGGTGTTTGACAATTTTTTTACGGGTGTCACTCTTTTGGAAAAGCTCAAATCTATCAACATTCGCGCGACAGGTACAATTCGGTCAAACAGAGTTATGAAATGTCCAATTGATTTTGGAAAAATGAAAAAACAACCAAGAGGGTCTAGCTGTAGTTTTGTTTCAAATAATGCAATTTTTATTTGCTGTTGGCGTGATAATAACATTGTTTGCTTAGCTTCAAATACTATTGGGACAGATCCTATTTCTGTGGCAAACCGTTGGTCTACTTCCGAAAAAAAAAGATTACGGATTTCACAACCAAATATCGTTTCTGTTTATAACAAAAATATGGGTGGTGTAGATCGAATGGACCAAAATATATCACAATATCGTATTGGGATCAGAGGTAAAAAATGGTACTCTTCTATTGTTCTATATATTATAGACTTAGCCGTTCAAAATGCATGGCAGCTTCATAGGATGTATAATAAAAATAAAATGGATCAATTGGCATTTCGAAGAAGCATAGTTATTTCATATCTGACACGTTACAAGACAGAACCCACTCCAGGAAGAAGTGGAGGCAAACCATCCAGTGTTATTATGGAAATAAGATATGACAAATTTGAACATTATTTGATTCCCCAAGACTCTCAAACACGGTGTGGTCAATGTCATCAAAAAACAACGACAAGATGTATGAAGTGCAATATTGGTGTCCACGCAAAATGTAACGTTTTATATCACACAAAATAATGTTCGTATGTACCTAAGTAAATTCAAAAA